ATTGTTCTTGGAATGCACTAATCAATCATTTCTCTTGTTTTCGGTTTGACCCTCTTGCCTTCACCTTTATCGCTCTTATTCACAAGCGCATTTTTTGTTTTACTTTTGGTTTTATTTCTTTCTTCTCGTTCTTTCGATAGTCGTTATATTTTATTCTTCATAGCTGTTCTCACCAGTAACTTTTGCATTCCATTTCACTGCTCGTTATGGTTGCTCAGTCAAGACTGATTATTTCTCGTTTGTTTGTTTTCAAATTTTCAGATTATGGGCTCACGAAAACATTCGTTATCAGTAAGTGAATCATAAACTTTTCTGTTTTGTTGATCACAGTAATTTAATTTCTCCATTTTTCTACCAGATTTAGTGCTCTACTAAAATTCTCGGTAATGTCACAATGTAATTCACAATCTATTGCGACAATCGCTTCTCTTGACACTTCAGTGTAGCGAAGAGATGTGTCACAAGTAGTACATTGATCAACCGAAATTACTTAATGTCGACCAGTATTTATTGCTGAGTTTCTCAGCGTCGTTTCGTCGCGCTAATCACTATATCTAGTGAACTAGACCTATTCTTTACCTTGCTAAACGCAACAATTTTATTGTACTCGTAGGGAAGCTCGCAATCATCGAAATGTATTGCAACTGCGGTAGTCATGCTATGTTCGTTTGCTGATTATGTGAGGGACTGATAGAAAGAATCTGGTTCTATGTGAGATTGGAGATGCTGTTGTGGTTATAAATAGGTGCGATCCTTCATTACCTTGTACACAAAACTTGATGTGGATGCTACTCGAGAAGTGGGTTGATGAACGTGTCCGGTGGACAATGCTTAAGTATCATGTCAGTCCATTCGCGTCAGAATATCAGTATGACCAAAATGAACAAACTTGTCTAACCATATTAACCTACTGTGCTATGGTGAGCCGCAGCGATCTCAGCGGTGACAACTCCTTGATAGAGTTATGCGTCACTTCATTCAGACTATTGGTACGCTTACTAACCAATCTGCGTGAGTACGCATTACTATTCGTTGAGGAATTCTTCAGATTCGCAACACATCAAGAGCGTATGGCATTGAATGTGCACGCATACGATAAATCAAGCAACCATATACTTCATAGTGTCCACTGCTCTGTTGGGTCTTAATTAAATACACTTGGATTGGTGGTGTTGAGTCGAAGAGAGATCGTTCAGTTTTGTTTCCTTTTGAATCAGTAAGTGAACACAACTATTCACTTGCCTTGAAAAGTCGAACTTCAGTCAATGAACTATGACATGTTGGAAACTATTCGAATTCTTTTGTAGCTGTTTCATCAACACTGGTCAGAATGAACGAGTCGTTGGGATGGAGTGACAGTTTGTTGGATCCTAATTCCAGTTTATATCAGGAATATGCAACTGAAATTTGTGACCTGGTAAGTTCGCTACCGAATTAGCAATTGAGTTAACACGAAATGAAGAAAATTGTTGAGATGCATAGGTAACCTATGTTTCTTGATAAATGGTTGGATTTGGAAGTTTGAAGATGGATTTTGCAAAGAGTAGTAGCCAATTAAAAGCCCTTCATGAAACACACAGTACCGTTCAACAGTTTTCTCCTACTGCAATGAGTGGTAACTGTAGGCATTGAAGGTGTGGTTTGGGTAGATTCTATGATCCTTGGCCTTTGCAATCATGGACTGGGTTTGTCGTAGTCAGTAGTGTCCGTTCTGCATCATTTACTATTTAGAACAAATTGTGTTTCGCCCTATACAAGCTGAAGCAACCCTAAAACACTCTGTGCTAGTTTATCGCCACATTGTTACAGTCAAATTTAGGCGGAGTTACTTATCGTTTTTGATTATGAATAACCTAATTACTAGAAGTACTCAATGTGGACGCGCACGATTCTGTGGTCGGTCAGTTGTTCCAGTAGTCAAATTAGTGACGACTGAGATTGCCTAGTCGATAGATATATTTACTAACTCACTAATTCGGCGAACCAATGTTTTCGTTTTCATGTGAATGGGCAATTTACATGTTGAGTAGAAAGCTGTAGTGCAACTAGTTGGAATAACTATGTTTACGTATATTCCGCTAAGTGTAGTCAGTTACATACTGTCAATGCAGTGCTAGTGTTGAGAGAAATTTGCGACGCGACTTAACTATTCACAAAAACGAGTGAGAAGAGGAACCAATTTCAACACATATTGCTTGATGATGCGTGACACTGATTGTCAGTGTCGATCAAAATCTCTATATTCGGAAATACAATGTGGCGGACAGCTTAAGTATCATATGACGAAGCTTCACTGAACTACTTGCTCGACTTTCACGCTACAACAATTTGTGTCGATCAGTTCTTTTCGTCGCACACAACATGCGTGTTACCATGAGTTAATCTCACTGAGCTGTGTGGCAGTGACGCACCATTTTTATGGTATCGAAGATTGCGATGCCGCATCGACTAGCAACTGACACCAACCCATATCTTTATTCACTACTGACTATTGCACTGAAAACCAGAGCTCACACCGTTGTGTCTTAAGATGCCGATCGATATCACAGGCTGAGGTGACTGATCGGAATTGTAATTCTAAATTCCTTTCTATTGCGCATCTGCTAGTCCCTCTAAGGTCCCTCTAGTGTCCTAGACTTGACCAGTCACACATCTAAACTGAACCGCTAACTTTGAGGCGATGCGAACTAAGCTCCAATTCGCCCGCTATTCGTGGGCGCTTCCCTGTCCTCTACCTTGAGTCGAAGAGAGAAGTCAACAGACCGTTGCTATCATTTTCATATTTCAAGTATACACAGGTCTATGTACAAACATATTGGACTGCATATCACCATGGAATGGAAAACTGCGATTATGCATCGACAAAACAAAAGTGTCTGTGAGTAGGGCGAGCTGTGCATAGTAAACTAGTAACAAATTAGGAACAGAAAGTTGTATAACAGTGGTTAGGTTGGTTAACAGGTTAACCGAAAGCTTGTCGTAAACAGAGTATATAGAGACAGTAATTCAACTACTTGGCAATTTCATAACAAAATATTAATCATGGTGATAATAATTCGAAAACCAGTTTCGAAAGTTTCAACTTTTACAAAAATTTTCCCGTTTTAACACAAACCATTTTCCTCTCACAAAATCTTCAAGCTTTTGAACAGCATGAAGTCAAATTATATCAAGGGGATAATCAATGTCACTTGCACAGTTGTCGGCTTCTCACGTGGATCAGTAGTTGGAAGTGCAGTATTAGCCATTGAGTACAATACAACTAGTGAGAATTTTTCGTCAACGGAAGTGACAAAAGACACTGTTCAAAATGCAATTGTGGAATACGTAGCAGAATTGATTACCAATGGTTCAGATAACGTGTACTTTGACACAACAAATAACTTGACAATAGAAGGTGAGTGTATACGATTATGTCGAGCTCTACTGAAATTGCATTTAGTGTTGAACATCAGTAAAATAAACCTGTTTATTTTTCGAGTTGAGCACTGTTCTTTGATGCATCTTGGAGATCGATGGTGAGGGAACCGACACTGAAAGTGCACTTTACGGAGTTCAGTCGATTATTTCTCATGTTAAATATCGCCTGAACAATAATAAACTTGCTTTCACGATGTATCCATCGGTTACTGACAACTTTAGCCCACCAAACTGTTCGATCCTATTTCAAATCTGTCTTTTTAGAAAGGCGGTAAAAACAGTTTTATTGAATTGCTTATATAGGACCTCCCCATATATGCTGGTTGTGGTAGAATTCTATTTACATTTTAAAGAGTCTAACAGTCGATCAGATGACAACGCGCCACGAGATGGAATGTTTGGTGTTCAATCAACGAAGAAGTAGAATTGTTCATTAGTTTGAAAAAGAATCTCGCTCACCTGCAAACCATCTACATCCAAAGTGTTTCGACTTCATTTACTGACACATACCTAGTTGTCTGTTAAATCAAGCAACCATTCATAATCAGGGTGAATTATCATCTATACTCCGTTTGTTACGAATGTGAATAAGTACACGTTTCTCTTTGTATTTTCAGCCGTAATTGATGTCACAACCAGCGAAACGACCACTGAATCTCAGATAACTGAAACCCACAGGACCACGAGTAAGTAAACGGTTTTCAATATGTTTTATCCAAGTCAATAGTCAATGCAATTACTTGTATCGTAATACTCCGAACTCTACCAGTAAATTACCCTACATAGTCAATCTTTTGTGAACAGATTCTTCGACCAGTAGTTTCGACTGCAATATCATTGAGATAATCATCAACAGAAAGTGGAAATGGCATGACACCAAATTAGTTGAGATAGTTTAAAATAACAAGTTGTATTTTAGGGTGTATGGTAAATCGTGAGAATTCGACATGATTGTGTGCTGATATTCGTGACAATGAATAAATGTTTGGCGTATATGCGAGGCGCCCCAAACGATAGAAATTGAACATGTTGCGGGCAATCAGAGTACATGAGTATAATGCGGTCGATTTAGAAAGGTAGATCGGAACGACTCAGAGACTGCTACGTGTGTGAAACAAGAGAAAGTGATTATGAGCGGTCAGCAGACACACACACAATAACAGTGAGTACTGAAAGCATTGATGAACTGATGTTGTACAAATGTACATTTGAGAATAACCGAAAAGAAATAACTAGGAACAGTAAAAGTTACACAGGATAATGGTAAACATATTGCAAAACGAACAGAAACAAATTGAAAAACAAAGTTCAGAAAAGGGAACAGAAATTCACAATGAATGTTTCGGATAAAATCATCTAAAGTTGGATGAAGATACCGCGTGTCAAATTAAATGACTAAAAACTTACTTACCTAATTGCTTTCGTCTTTTGATCCTAATGGAGCATAGTCCGCCAACCAGTTTTCTACAACGAACTTTTTCTTGGGTTTCCCTTTCTATTTCTTTCCAGTTTTTGTTCATTTTTCTCATATCTTTCTCTATTTCCCGGCGTAATTTCTTGGTCGACCTTCCTCTTTTCTTTTTGCATTGAGGGTTCCAAGTGAGGGCTTGTCTTGTGACGCAGTTAGGTGCTTTTCGTAGTGTGTATCCTATCCACTTCCAACACGTATTCCTGATTTCCTCCTCCACCGAAATTTGGTTTGTTCTCTCCCACAGTAGGTTGCTGCTGATAGTGTCTGCCCAACGAATCCAAAGTATTTTGCGTAGACAACTGTTATTAAACAGCGGTCATCACTTTGAACAAGTCTGTTAGCTGTCCTTCGTGTGCGATTTTGCAGTTGAATCCATCATCAGAATTCCGTATGATGTTAACTATTTTCTCAGGCACATCGTAGTGTCGAAGAAGCCTCCACAGTGTTTTCCTATGCACGCTTCAAATTCTTTCTCGTAGTCAATGAAGTTGATGTAGAGTGGTGAGATCCATTCAATTGATTGTTCCACAATGATCCGTAATATTGCAATTTGGTCAGTACACGATCGATCCTTACGAAATCTGGTCTGTTGATCTAAAAGATGTGCGTCTACGAAGTCTTTTATTCTGTTTAACATTACCCTGTTGAAGAATTTGCCTGGTATTGAAAGAAGAGTGATGCCTCTGTAGTTCTAACACGTGCTGAGATCGCCTTTCATTGGCATCCTGATCAGGTGTCCTTCTCTCAAGTCTGTTGGTACTTGTTCTTCATCTAAAATCATGCTGAAGTGGATGTGGCGTATCTTCGCAGCTACTGATACGTCTGTTTTCATTGCCTGTGCTGGAATGTTGTCTAATCCCGCTGCTTTGTCATTCTTGATTTGTCTGGTGGCCATGCTGATCTCCTCAATTGTAGGTGGGCCAATTTTAATTGGGAGGTCCATGGATGCTGCTTCGATGTTGGGTGTGTTCAGTGGAGCTGGTCGATTCAAGCGTTCCTGAAAGTGCTCTACCCACCTGTTTTGTTGTTCTTCAGTGTTGCTGATTACTTTGCCTTCCTTGATTTTCACTGGTCGTTCTGGTTTACGATAGTTTCCGGCGAGCTTCTTTGTAGTTTCGTACGATTTTCTTAAGTTTCCATCTCTTGCAGCAGTGTCCGCCGTCATCGCTAGATCTTCCACATATTTTCGTTTGTCAGCTCTGATGCTCTTCTTCACTTCCCTGTTTGCTTCTGTGTATTCAGCTTGTGTGGTAACTTTTTCCGCTCTTGTTCGGCTAACATTGATTGCTGCCTTCTTGTTCCACCTTTCTTCAATTTTTGCAAGAGTACCAACAGATATCCAATCCTTGTGATGGTACTTCTTGTGACCAAGATCTTCGTTACATGTTGAAGTGATTGCCTCCTTGATCCATTTCCAATTGTTCTCCTGCAAGGCCTGGAACCTATAGGTGATGGTTATCTTGAATTCGTTGAGTTTGACGGTAGCCCGAAGAAAGGCTGTATTAAACGTGTGTGATGTTGTCTGCCCCGTTGTCCAGTGTTTCTTGAGTTTCAGTTTCATTTTAGCGACCGGAAAGTGGTGATCTGAGGCTATGTCAGCTCCTCTATTGGTTCTCACACCCACCATCGTCCTTCTGAACTTTTGATTGATACAGATATGGTCGATAAGATTCTAAGTAGTGTGATCCGGTGAAATTCATATGGCTTTGTGTATACGCTTGTGCGAAAATAGTTTGCCACTGATGACCAGTTTGTTGAAGGCACATAGATTCGCAAATCTCTTAGCATTTTCACTAATATGTCCTAGTCCATGTCATCTCATGACGTCTTCATATCCAGTGTTTTCGATGCCAACCTTGGCACTTAGGTCTCCCATCGGAATCGTCACATCCTTTGGTGAGCATCTGTCGACGATTGACTACAGCCTTTCGTAGAATTGATGTTCAACGTCGTCATTGTAGTCGTTCCCGACCGTAGCTGCTACGTTGACGTGGTGGCCGGGCTTGCCTATCGTGATGAACCAACCGAGCTATACTGGCTGGAACATATGTTCCTGCAGGTCCTACCATGCCAGACAGGTCGAATGGAGAACGATGAGACTAAAAGCAGCTCTCCAAGGTCTGAGGGCGAAGTCGTACTACTGACTCCAGAGGGGTGTGACAGCAGTAAAGTGTTTCCCTCGGACAACCAGCATCTGCAGCGATGCTGCTTTCTCACAAGGAAGGAAGGGTTAGAAAAGGTCGACCCTTAAATTGTCACACCTCACTCTACCTCACGGATTTCCGTCTCCTTGGGTAAGGGTGCCCACTAAGGGCTTTCAAGAGCGAAGCTAACACTCAAAAAACTTCTCATAAAAAGGCCGTGCGTGACCGGCCTCAAGCAGTTGTCCCTTGGGCTCTGCGGTCACGCACCCAGGTCTCCAAGACCAACACTAATCTATCATCCTTTTCAGGTTCCTCAAGAAACAACCTTCCACGGTGTGGGCAGCCTGGAGGTGATAACCGCTCTCATACCCGTAACAGCACACGAGACCGAATCGATCAAAATCAGATCCTTCCTACACCCCCTTACACCTCTCTTATCTCCACGACTAACTCTTCTCACATTCATTTATCACAGTGCACAGCTAACGCAAACGATGCGAGTTCACGAAACGTCATTTCTGGTCTCTTGAAACCTCGTTCTAGACTATATGTAGGAGCATTTAATGTACGGACATTGTGGCAAATAGGGTAACAGGATTCATTAGCTAAGACTTTAGAATCTCGTGCCATCGATGTATGCTGCGTCTCGGAAACACGCATACAGGATCCTAGTAAAATTATTAATCTGATTTCACCTTGTCAAAATAAAGAAGCAGCTCGATTTACTCTTCGTGTATCTGAAAGCTCTCCGGGGTCTTGCTGGCGTAGGCATAGCATTGAGTCGTAGAGCTGAACAATATCTCCTTGACTGGATCCCAGTAGATAGTCGTTTGTGCGCTGTCCGACTAAACAGGACAGTGTGGATTCGGAAATATAGGGACACTCGTCGTTGCCTCTTCGTCATATCTGCCTATGCCCCCATTGACTGCAGTTCAGATGAGGTCAAAGATGAGTTTTACAGAAAGCTTTCGGACCTCCTCCAAAAAGCTAGGCGATCTGATATAATAATAATTGCTGGTGACTTTAATGCTCAAGTAGGTAGACTACGTGAAAATGAAAGACACCTAGGTGGAAGTTATGGTGTCGTGGCTCAGAGAACAGACAATGGCGACCGTCTGTTGCAAGCATGCTCAGACAACCGCCTATTCTTAGCAAACACTAACTTTAGGCATAAGGAAAAGCGTCTGTTGACCCGGCGACCCCCGAAGTCGTCTCAACGTTGGACTCAACTAGATCACATTGCCATCAGCAGCCGATGGAGGGGTTCGATAGAAGACTGTCTGTCGTTGTGGGGCACATGTTTAGATTCAGATCATGCCCTAGTGCTAGCGCGTATTTTTTTGAAGCTTACTGGACGTAGGAAATACACCGTAAGGAAGCCTCTCAGGGTTTTACTTAATGATAATAGGGCGAAGAATATATTTCAGGAGCAACTAGAAAGAGAGCTAGGCGATCATCTAAGCGATTCTCATCCGGAGTCAGGTTAGAATGATATCAAAAAGGCTGGGGAAACAGGAGTGACATCTGCTAGTAAAGTTGACCATAAGGCTAGAATGAAGTCGTGGATCTCAGTAGCATCCACCGATCTGATGGATGCCCGAAAACTCATCCCACCTGGCTCTGAGCATGATGAAGAACGAAGTCAACGTAGGCGCAGACTTATGAAAAGCCTACGTAACGACCGCGAACAGTGGTGGGTGGCGAAATCAAAAGCGATGAAAAAGGCAGCGGCGATCGGCAACAGTAGACAACTTTTCCGACTTATCAAGAAAACTGGTATTAGGAATCCTAGTGTAAGTGTAACTATCTCGGCAAATGATGGGACTATTGTTTATTCTCAATGCAGGAGACTGGATCGATGGGCAGAACACTTTAGGGATCAGTTCAACTGGCCTCGAGCCACTCTTCGGTTACCCACGATCTCCAGCCATCCTGAATGGCAAATCGACGTAAGTCCCTCTAATCTTAATGAAGTTGAAAAAGCGTTAGGAAATCGGAAACGAGGACGAGCTGCAGGTCCTGATAGACTGCCTCCTAAGAAATTTAAGGATTGTGGTCCAGTTTTAGCAGCTACGTTGACTGAGATCTTAGGTAGAATTTGGGAACTGGACGTAATCCTATCCGAGTGGTCTCAATCACTGATTGTCCCAATCTATAAGAAAGGACAAGTCTTCTTGTGACAATC